CTCTCTCACCCTACTCACCTTCTCTCTTAGATTTGATGCCACTTAGGTGTGTTTCTACCCTAGATCCTCATTTAAAAGAGTGTGTTGAGTCAGGGCTTCGTTTAATCTGAATTGTTGGTAGTTTTGGAGCACTTTGAGGTTTGCGGTCTTTCATCTCCATTCTTCTCTTTTTGGGCAATTTCTTCGAGGTAGGGATTTCCTACTCCATTCATATAAGTTGTGTTTGCTAAGTTTGGCGTATTTTGATTATGTTGGGGATACTTTGGTAATTTGGGAAAAACCCTAGTGGTATTTAAATAAGTTAATTTGTATAATTATTAAAGGAAATTGAGAAATATGGTTAAATTCATGGATTGAGGAATTCATTGATTAAGCAGGTGTAGTTGGATAATTTAAATCAACTCACCCATTGAGTTGTTGATTATTATTTTCAGTCTAGAAAAACTGTTTTGGGCATCGGTGGAAGGATTAGCTGGTGATAGTGTAGACACTGCCATGTGGCATTAGGGATAACTGAAACTATCATTGATTGATCATAAACTTTGACTGTTTGAATAATACAGACTTTATGTGTATTGATGTGTGTTGTATATGTTATGTGTTTACATACATTGTTTTTGTGTGGGAGGAGATTAGGGGATGCTACTCCCGGTTTAGGGAAGATAGGGATGGACCTCTAAATACGGATTTTGTTTGGGAGGAGATAGGGATGGACTCCATTAGCATCACTTTATGTGTGCTATTTATTATAGAAGTGTTTTATTGATAACAGCACTAAAATGTGTATCAATTGTAATATGAAGTGTTTTTGATTTTGAGCTTGAGCTTCATTTGTTTTGAACATTGAAAGAATGTGAATAGTGATATATATGATTCACTGGTGTAGTTGGCCAGGTATCTGAGCCATATTGATAAGTTTGGACAGAAAACTGTGTATTAGACATAGTGTCATTGAGACTGTAAAATGAAGTAATTTATTATCTTGAGTTAACCATCTGTTGAATGCTATTGCTTTATTTCATTGCTTTATATGTGGTTTAGTATATTTCTACTGGGCTGTGGCTCACCCTTTATGGAACATCATTTTCAGGTTCAGGTGATAAGCTACCTCCAAGACTTAGCTTGGAAGCGACTTGGATTCTTGAAGACTATTTCAATTATTGGCTTTTATTTGTTAGTGCATGTAAACACTCAAGGCCTAGGGCCTTTATTTGTATTGAGTTAGAACTCATTACTTTTGTGTCCAAAGTGGTTGGCTTGGAAAGATGTAAGCCTGATTAGGATTTTAATTTGATGTTACAAGTAATGCTTTGTTTAGCTAGACTCTGAGAATAATAATGAATTATTAAAGTGTTTTCTATGCTTAAATAATGCATGTCAATGATATAATAATGGGTTAAATTTTAGGGCGTTTACAACTTGGTATCAGAGCTTACCGGGTTTGAAACTTTGGGTACGTGGGAAGTGAATTAGTATCACATTGAGTTCCGTCTCGTTTGATAGAGACTTAGTGTATGTTATATGCTTATGTGAAACATGTTTATTGATTATGTGGGATGGAATGTAGTTTCTAGGATGTTGATTGGGACCTTTGAGTTTCTAGTAGTCTTGTTGGAGGGCTCTTGATCAACTGGCTGCCTTCCAACCGGGAACTATAGTAACGCATTGGGACTATCATTATCCGGAATGAAATTCGTAGGTGCTTAGTGATTATGTGCTTACGTGGAATGAATTATGGTTGTCCCATGCATTAGACGCGAGTGTTTTAGCTTCGGCCACATTTATTAATGTGCTAACGTCTGTTTCCTTCATTAGGATGTTCAGACGAGGGCAGGACGCGGTAGCGTTGGTTAGCCGGGTAGGCAGGAGGTGCCTGTCCAGAGGAGATTCCGGCGAGTTCATGAGGGAATTGGGCCAGGTCCAATTGTGGCCGAGCCAATTAGGCCAGCAGGCTATGAGCGCTCTAGCCCGAGAGATAGAGGGGCATCAGGGAGCCAGTAGGGATTCTCAAAGCTGAGAATCAAGCTCGAGATGTTGCTGCACAGATAACAGGACCTTCAACTTTCTGAAGAGGGAGTTCTTTCCGTCTAATCCGGATGACATTTGTGTGATCCCAAGAGCCGCTTAGGCAGATGAAGGCTCGAACAGACAACGAAGACGTTTGATGGATTCTTGCATCGAAGACTGAGGGGTTAAAGTGACAACTTGCATCTTTTCAGTTGAAGGGGATGCAGGTCAGTGGGAAGTTTTACTAAGGGTCGCTATAGGAGGTACATGGGAGGCTTTTGTGAATGCTTTCCAGGAGAAATTCTTATCTCCAGCAGCAGGGAGAAGCTGCAGGACGTTTTGTCAGCTTAAGCAGTCGAGTCTTCAGTGGCCGAGTTTGCAGGCTGCTTTACTAGGCTTTTGTCCAGGTTTGCACCTGAAGTTGGTGCGCGTGCTGAGGAACGCCGTTGTATTGAGTTGAGAAGAAGTTGATGCGTTGGCCTCAAGCTGAGAGTTGGGGAAACTATGATTCGCGGATTTTATGGACGTATGGTTGAATGCTGCAGCCCACATGGAAAATTATGATGCAGGAGGAGGAGCGAGGGACAGAAGGGCTCCAAGAGGAGTCAGGGTATGGTCAGAGTGATGATAGGAGACAGAGGTTTTAATCCCTCAGCAGTCAATACAAATTACGGATTTAGCTTTTTCTAGATGCGTACTTTTCCATTAACCGCACGCGATAGGCGTAAGTATATGGTGTGGTGGTTGAATACGGTGTCCGCCTGTACGGTTGATGCGGAGTGCTAGTTCGGAAAGGCTAGTCAGGAAGGACAATTACCTGTTTCAAGGTGGTGATAGTATAGTATGCTATGTGGCCAACTGGGCCATGTCAAGTCTCCAGTTTGTCCTCAGAGGAGAGGCAGTGCAGAGAACAGAGCATTTCATCACTTCGGCTCGATCTCAGAGCCAGAGTCAGTGGATAGAGGCCAGCCACTCTCGTGTTATCATGTGGTCAGCCAGCATATGATATTTGGTATTTGCCCTACAGTTGTCGGTGCACACCGGTGCATCTGGTTGAGGCAGAAGATTCAGGCAGCAGCCAGCGCAGGTGGAGGGCAAATGCGAGGTCAGGCCGGCGGAGTCGCGGAGATCAGGGGGTTCATCGTCCCATTCGGTACAGGGCAAATCTTATACCTCTTAGGGTTGAGCCGAGGTGGTATTTGACGTAGCAGTTGATTCAGAGGTCGTCGGGGCGCGTGTACGCTTTAGATGGCACGCGCGCAGATCTTGGCTCAGCACCATCAGTTGTGAGATGAGGTAGGGTAAGCACATTTTCGATTAGATTTGTTTGCCAACTCGGTTGTATATGTTTGTGAATACGGGTATTGGCATCTAATTCCTTTGTGTCTGCTGCATGCATCTGTTTTGGATTGGAGTTGCACAGTTAGCATCTCCCTATATGGTATCAGATGTCACCCTTGGGCGGTGAATTGATTTTGGAAAACAAGGTTTGTTAGGGTTGTGATATAGAGGTTGATAGTTCCAAGAGTTAAGACAAACCAATTTTTCTTGTAGTATAATGCCTAATTACATATTTGTATTAGGGGTTTCGATGTTATTTTGGGTAGATTGAGCTCAACCCAACCAAAAATAATAAATAAATAAAAATTTAATATAAATATAGTTACATTTCCTCAGTAACCCGTTAGAATGAATGCATTCCTAAAATTGGAGGAATGAATAGGCGGTTATTTCACATATTGTTGCAAGGTTATAGTTTGATTTGACTACCGCGAAAGGGGAGATCAACTCGTTATTACTGTTACCATATAAGACATACGATTTTTTACGAAAAGATGTGCAAAAAGTAGAGAGAAAAGAGAATCTTTGACTTTTTGGTATGAGTTGTTGGCTTTTTGGCTAAAATGATAACTTTTTGGCTTTTTGGCTAAAATGGTAAGTCCCCAAACAGGGCCTTAGACTCAATCTTAATCAACGCACTGATAAATATATTATATCAAATGCTTTAGACAAGCTACAACTTTGCTTACTTCTATCTCATCAGTGACATCATATTTTCCATATCATAAAATTCATGAAGAATAAAAAAATATATACTTAGAAAAGCATCCAGAATTTAAATTCATGGTATAGATTTAAATTTGACAAAATAAATCTGATCCGCACATTTCAAATTTTGAATATTTTTCTGATTATTTTTTCTGGGTACATGGTATTTCTGTTCTTGGACTAGTTCGCTGAGAGATTTTGAAAATGCTCGACTTGTCCAAGTTGCTACAAGTGAGTGTGCAAAGTCTCTTATTGGGTGTAATTGGCAAATTGTTGTTCATCCAAGGCTCCAATTGAGAGAACTCTTTTTATGGTTTCAAGTGTAGCTTTCATTGAGAAGGTTGTGGAAGATTGGATTTTGGAATCTATATTGAATATCAAGTGCTCTGAAGATCCTCCATGGAAGTCAATGTGTCCTTGTTCATCTACCACTTCACCTTCTTGCGGAACCACTTCAGAGTCTTTCAGAAAATTCATTTTTTCCATGATATCTCTTTCTTCAAAAGGCCCAATTTCAAGTGGTTGAGGGAAGCTTTTGTTGTAGCTTTCTTGGCTCTCTTTTCTTGGAATTGGTATGTTGTTTTTCTGGCGACTGTATCAAGAAAATGGAAGAGAGAGGTTCACTAGGAGTATGTACAAAATCAACAATTCATATAATGTTAATAAGATCACAAGGGAATTTAAATCCTTTGCCGGTTAGAACTTGACCATCTAATCATAGAAAACACGAAAGAGATTATTAAAAAAAACATGTTGCAACGTTTACAATCTGTAGACTATGTGAAAAATGATATTTGTCACCAGATAAATTTATAAATTAAAAGGTGAAAAAAAAAGGAAATAAAATTTATCTAGTGATATATAGTAGCTCTTTAAATTATATTCAATAAATTGGTGTGCAAACAAAAAGTACACATATGCATTCAGAGAGAGAGATAGTGAGGTAACGCTAGTTTGGTAAATCAAAACATTATTGGTTGGTTGGGGTAAATAATGGAGTAGTTCCATGAAGTTGGTACACTTTAAAATAAAAAATAAATGAAAAATTATCATTTGAAGTTGATGATCATGCTAATGATGTCCCCTTCAGCTACCAGCTGGACATGTTTGTTTCAGTGTTAATTTCTCTCCAACAAAGAGTTCCATTTATAGTTTTTAATGTTTTTTCCTCTAGACTTCACTTAAGTCTCCATAACACTACATTCTGAACACTTTCGTTAAATATTTTTAAGTCTGTAGCATTGTTGTATCGTTAAACTTACTCTCATTGATCCTCTAATCCTCATGGATTGACAATTGTCATCGAGAAGTCTGTACTCATACATCATCCAATCGGTTTTGGTGCCCTTGGGAGGACGACCTCCATAGAACACAAGAGCTTTCTTCACACCAACACACTGTGATCCATAAGAGGAAAGGATTGGTTTATCGGTCCCAGTGGCTTTCCAATAACCCGATGAAGCCGCTCTATTAGGGCGAGCCCCATTTGGATATTTCCGGTCTCTTGGGGTAAAAAAAAACCACTCACTCTCCCCAAACAAAGCCTTATCTGCACCAAAAAAACAGAAAATGTAATTTTTTTTATTTTTGAAAATAGTAGTAAAACTCGAATCCGGCCATAAAATAGATGAAGAACTATACCTGGAAGTTCCCAAGGATTGAACTTGTAGAGATCAATCTCAGCTACTATGGAAACTATTGGATTTGAAGGAGATGAGACTTTCTTTTTCAAATAATGGGTGATGAGTTCTTCGTCCGTGGGATGGAATCGAAAACCGGGAGGGAGCATAGGATTTGACATAATGATGCCTTCCATTGATAGATTCATAAATATTTTCACAAACTTTCTTCAATTTTCTTGGAAAGAAAGTGTATATATAGCGAAGGAGATCGAAAAATAATATAGGATCTTGAAAGATCACAATGTCATAAAATAGTGTTTATGTCATTGTTGGCCTGTGATATATTCCTTCATTATTTTTAGTGATGCCTTGTCTTCTGTTCTAAACTGCAGAATTAGAAATTCTTTTCATTGATTTTTTTTTTTTTTCGTCAGCGATTAAAATTAACCACATATTTTTTCTTTCAATTTTTTTTAAGTATGCAATTTAATGGGTAAATTTTCAACATAAGTTTGAACATTAGAGAGTCCAAAAATGTCTTAAAATGAAAATTTTGGTGGTGAAAATAAGTACATATTCAAATTTGAGAAAAATAAATTTGATAATGAAATGAATTCCATATTGAAAATACATTAAGGAATAGTGTAATGTAGTTTATTTCAAGAGGAGAAAGATAGCAGCATATATGACAGATAATTTGAAGGATCTAGAAAGGGGATATAAGAGAATAATACATTGGATTTTTTATGTGCCTTGTACGTTGAATTTAATTTGTGCATTTCTTATAATCATTAGACTAATATAAATTAATTTTCATTATCATTATTTGGGTTGCATTCTAAATCGGGCAAGTCCAAGGCAAGCAGGTCTCATACGGTAGTGTTTCGTTCGTAGGAATACATTTAGACAGATTAAAATGACTATGGTCCGTTTAGTATCACTTATAAATTAACTTATTTAGCTTATTTGATTAAAATAAGTTGAGTAATAGTGTTTGGTTGCAATTTCAAATTATAACTTGTTTTTTAAGCTTATTTAGACACACAGACAAAAAAAAAAAAGAGTAAGATTTTCTTAAGTTATAATTTGTAATTTTTTTAAAACTTATTTGAAAGCGTTAAATATGTATGGACAAAAGAGTCTCATCTCTTTTGCTTCAGTTATAACTTTTGAATGTAAGGTGGATATATATTTATACAACCAAAAAACTATGTAATAACACATTTAAGCCTTGATCTAAAAAAAGCAAACTCATTTACGCAAACATGTTCAACTTTTTTTTACTGATTATGAAAAATAACACCAAACAAATTTATAATTTATCTTAAATCTTTTAAGCTAATAATCTAAAAAGTTATAATCACGAAAGGTAACCAATAAATGATATCAAACGGGGAGTTGGGATTGGTGTTGTGCCAAAAGGCACGACATCTATGCTGTGAGATCCTGTGAGGGTGTTTTTTTGGATAATTTGAACCGTTCATATTGTAGGATTTGTCAAGTATATTATTCACAAAAAAATTTAGGTATGATTAACCCTAATTATTTTTAAAAAAATTATACCAACTGTTTATTTTTGTTTAAAACAAATGTGATATTATTATAGAGCTATAGATGTCCAAGTAATCTGATTTTTTATTTTTATTTTTTATGTATGATTTATTTGACAAATCTTATAATATAAACAGTTTAAATAAAAAAATAGACTCGAGACACGTCCCGACAGACTTCACAACACGCGTGCTATGCCATAAGGCACAACACCTACACCAAGTCACCATTGGAATAGTCATTCTCCTAAATTGGCAAATAGTGATTCCAGTTGAAATGTATATTTCTTTTCTTTATACCAAACTAAACATTAAAATAATTGTTTTGATACAATTACTATTCCATTTTAATATTTATTTTAATGAATCAAATACTATAATGTTTTAGGTAAATTACACTCACATGTCCTTAAGTTTTAAAAAAAATACAGTAAGTATCACACTTTTGACGTAATTGCATTGATTTCTCTTTTAGTAAGATTAAAGTAACGGACATTAGTGCACGTGGTCGGTAAATATTAAAATAAACAAAGATGAATATACATTTTAATAGATTAGAGATGATAACATTATTTTTTCAATTGTATAATTAATGAATTACTGATATAAAAATAATTTAATTGTTATGCGAAATAAAACTTGAGAAGAAACTAATGTAATTTACATAAAAAGTACAAAAGTAAATATATATTTTTTTCCCCCAAATCTCATAAGAACGTGTAATTTACCCTATAATTTAATCAAGCAAGCCAAAGTAAACAAACAAGGTATAAGTCTATGACCAAGTCTCGCAGGGTATGTTGAGAGCCAACTTACTATATTGACCAAGGCTATGATAATTCACACTAACCTATTTCAGTTGTCTTTTTTTAAGGAAGCAAAAGTAGAAAGTAAGGACAATAAATTCCAGCTCATAAGATAATTTCCACCATACACGGAGAGTAAACAACATGAACAAGAATCTGTAAAACTAAATCCAAAAATGTAACTGTTGGCTTTTTGGCTTTTCGAAGGGTATTTTTGTGAATGTGAGCGTGCCAGCAAGGATTAATCAGTCCTTACAGAAATTGTGTTTTTCCTGGGGGCTGCTCTGCTATTTATACTCGTCAGTGATGACCTTCGAACTGCACTTCGATCCGTCGAACTGCTCCTCCATGATCGCTGATTATGCTTCCTTAAAAGTAGCTCCATTACGCCATTACTGGCAGTTGAGCTTCCCAGAAAAGGTGAGTGCAACAAGCATCAAAGCAATGCGACGCAATCCCAACTAGGTTGACACCGTGAAAATCATCCTATCATATGCTAGCACAACCACCAAAAGTTGATGAGAAACTAACAAAAAAAAAAAAAGAAAAAGAAAAAAACAACCTAAAAAACAGAACCACAAACCCAACATAGCAAGCACCAGCTAGATGACACCTCACTTTATGCAATTCCTGACTTGCTGTAGATTAGATACAAACTGATTAATTGAGTAGTCACTTCCCACCCTATTTAATTGTAACACCTTACTATAATCTTACACTTTAAGGCAACTTACAATATTATTTTTCCGTCAATTTACTGTTAATAAGATTGATGAAACTTGTTATATGAGCTAAACATGATTTTTTTTTTTTTTTTTGGTCTTCTTCTTCTTCTTCTTCTTCTCATTAGAGGCCTTATACTTTTGTTAAATTCTCATTTTAGTCTTTACCTAAAATCTCATTTTGGTCCCTTTGTTTTTCATTTTTGTCAACCTTATTAACGGTAATGGATAGAAGAGTGACATTGCAAGTTGACTTAAAGTATAAAAGTTGATTGTCACAATTGAAAATAAATTAATTAAAGTTACTATCTCAGATTCAACTCCTCTATGTGTTATCAACTATTTAGGGTCATGCCCATAGGCTTTGTTCGAGATTTGTCTGATCCATGTGGAGTGGATGCCAATGTTTTCAAACCCAGACCGAATCGGCTGGTCGGACCGGGAACCGGGCCTTGTTCCGGTCCGGTCAACCCCCTAAACCCGGAAGTGGGGCCAAAATCGGAAAAAACTGGTGACTCAGTAGTCGACCCGGCAAAACCAGTGACCCGGACCGGGTCGGGAGGGTCAGACCGGTCCTTTTTTTTTGTTTTCGGTTTTACTTTTTTTTTTATTTTCTCTTTCTTTCTTATATATTTATATATATATATATATATATATTAAAATTTTGACTAAAAATTATTATTTCAAGAGTCTCCTCTCATAAGTCTCAGTAAAAGTTTGAGAAGATTATGAAAGTTATTTCTATTTATAGGAAAGATTTTAAAGAGAACCTACAAAATTCTATGTGGGATTCAATCAAATTATTTGAATTATATTGATTGGAAGGAGAGTTAAAAATTTCATTTCCCTCCAAAATTAAATCTAGCATTCAATCAATTCATTTTTATGGGATGTTTAAAAATTTTAATTTCTTTAAAATAAGTGACTTTTTTTTTTATCAATTATGACTTTATTAAATATTATTAATAAATACTATGCAACAATTTTTATTTTTATTTGATTATTTATATATATTTTTATCTATTTATAATTTATAATTATATTTTTTAATTATATAATATTAATTATGACGTCATGGTTCGACCGCTTTGACCCGACGGTTGAACCAGTGACCCGTCCACCCAATCCCTTTTCCGGTTTGCTCACCGGTCCGGTTTTGAAAACATTGGTGGACGCATTGCGTGGGTATCGGAATTAGTCGAGGTGCACGTAAATTAGCCTGAACACCTAGTTATAAAAAAAAGTGATGTTATGGTGACAATGTAGGGGTACTAATTAACCCTAAGAAAATTATTTAATACTTTCGAAGTATTCTATGGCTCGTCTACATGCTACTCTTGGCTAATGAAAAATTATAATACATACTAAGTGTGAGTTATTTTTTATTTCCTAACTATCTAACATAGTTGAGTCAATATGTTATACTCGTAAAATTTTCTGTTACATAATTAATTCATAATATCATGTAAAGAATATCACATGCTGCTTTGAGATTTCTTCTGATTATTTAATTATGAGTCTTGAGTCTTCAACGACCCCTAAAATTGGTCATTACCCAAATTAAAAAAGCCCTCGATACTTGACTCTGTCTTTAATCTATTTATCTCTATTAGCCAAGACTATGATTTATGATGTTCATTTCAGATTTATCCTTGTAATAGGTGGAGCAAGGGTTAAACAATTGCTGCTATAGGTTCCCACTTCAACATGGAATTTAACTAACATATGAGGAAAGGAATACTTATAATATGAAAATGGAATATAAATGTTTATTTCCTATAATTAATGTTTTGTGAAAGAGTCATATCAATATATTTTGAGTAAATTATAATTCGCCTCCTCTATATTCGGCCATTTTCCCATTTTAATCTTTAAAATTTGATTTTTTTTATTTTTTTTTTTTGATTTTAATATTTCAATTTTTTTTTTTTTTTTCATTTTACTCTTAAAATTAATTATGTTAAAAAATAGATAGAAAATGTCATGTTTACTGTCACATAATATAAAAATATATTATTATATTAGGATTTAGATTTGTGTCAGAATTGTGAGTTATATATAATAAAATATTTTTAAATCTTGTGATTGTTAATTTATCATTTTTTTGTCTTTTTTTTAATTTTATTTTTATTTTTTTACAAAAGTTAGCTTATGGAGTAAATTGATAAAAATTAAAAGATGAAAGGCCAAATGGGAATTCCCACACACACACATACATAAAGAATCAAACTTATCCCCCCTTACATAAGTTAGCTTATGGAGTAAATTGATAAAAATTAAAAGATGAAAGGCCAAATGGGAATTCCCACACACACACATACATAAAGAATCAAACTTATCCCCCCTTACATAAGTTAGCTTATGGAGTAAATTGATAAAAATTAAAAGATGAAAGGCCAAATGGGAATTCCCACACACACACATACATAAAGAATCAAACTTATCCCCCCTTACATAAGTTAGCTTATGGAGTAAATTGATAAAAATTAAAAGATGAAAGGCCAAATGGGAATTCCCACACACACACATACATAAAGAATCAAACTTATCCCCCCTTACATAAGTTAGCTTATGGAGTAAATTGATAAAAATTAAAAGATGAAAGGCCAAATGGGAATTCCCACACACACACACATACATAAAGAATCAAACTTATCCCCCCCCATATACTAGCGATTACCACACGTGATGCGTGTGCAATTCAAATAAATAAAAATAAAATAAAATATTTATCATATATTGTGTGTTAGTTAAGTGGTAAGATTCTTATTCATTTGACATAAG